GGGAGCCAGCGTACAGCTTCCGGGTCATGTGGCCAGCATGACTAAGCCGCTTCTGGCGAACCAGAGCAGCGCACGGAAACGCCGTTTACCTTCCCACTGGAGCGGTACAGTGGTACCTCGCAAGCCGAATGCCTCGCAAGACAAAAAACTCGCTAGACGAAAGGGTTTTTTGTTTTGGCTGCTTCGCAAGACGATTTTCCCTATGGGCTTGCTTCGCAAGACGGAAACGTCTTGCAAGTTTGTTTCCTTTTTCTTAACACCGTTAATACAGTTGCGACTTGACTTCGAGGAGCAACTCATAGAACGCGGTGTGGTAGCCTTTTTTGAGGTTTTTAAAGACTTTGGTGATTTTTGAAGCTTTTCCAAAACTTTCCCGACACCGTGCTTCGCAAGACGAAAAAATCGCAAGACGACAAAACTCGCGGAACGAATTAATTTTGTCTTGCGAGGCACCACTGTACCTATTTATCTACTTGCACTTTGACGTGCTTTCGAACTGCTAGGTAGGCAGGAGCAGGGACCGAGCAACGGGAGCTCGCCCCGTCGCGGGGATTCAAACCACCAACCTTCTGATCAGCAAGCCCTAGGCTCTGTGGTTTAACCCACAGCGCCACCCACGTCCCATGTGGTCAGCATACCCTCCAACAATTCTCCGATGACAATAGGGATGTCCTAAATAACAACAACAATATTGTTATTAATACTCCACCCACCTGGCTGGGTTGCCCCAGACACTCTGGGTGACTTCCAACATACATCAAAACATAATAAAACATTAAGCATTTTAAAAAACAAAACTTCCCTATACAGGTCTGCCTTCAGATGTCTTCTAAAGGTTGTATCTTATCTCCTTGGTTCAGGGGTCACATAACTCCATGCTCTCGAACATTTCTCCAAGGAAAATAGGGGCATCCAATGAATGTTTCTCCAATGAAAATAGGGAAAAACAGGACATTCTGGGATCAAATCAGAAACCGGGATGGCTCCCATCAATCTGAGGCTGTCCCTGAAAAACAGGGACACTTGGAGAGTGTCACTGGTCTCTAAATAGCCACATGTGTCACCAAACATGAGGGCCGGGTGTGGAAGATGCCTGCTTAAAGGGAGGGAACAGAAGTGGAACACCACTTCCCAAATGGTACCTGATTAATTTTTTGTGCAGGGCATTTTGTTAAAAGCACTTGGAATGTTTTTAACAAAATAATTAGCAGCACAAAATAATTGGCAATAATTGGGGAAGGGCTGTAGTTCAGCGGACGGAGCATATTCTTTGCACGCAGGATTCCCAAGTTTAATCTCCAGGGAGAAAACATGCTGTTGCCAGTCAGTGTGTGGACAAAACGTGTTCTCCCTAGCAGAGAGCACGTGTTGCAGTGGGGGATACAAGCCACCCATTGTTGCTGGGTGGATTTGTGGAGAGACCCAGGCAGTGAATTGGTTAATTGGGTCGCTGGGGAGAATTGCCTGTTGCCAATTTTGAAGGAGGGGTCAGAGGTTTTAAATATTGGTCGCCTAACTTTGGGAGTCCTCTTGGCTCCTTGCACCTGATCACCCGCCCACCCTCCCTGTATTGGGGGGGTTGTTTGCTTGACCTTGCTATGCCTGTCATGGGGTCGTCTGCCTTGAGGCAGGGGCCTGGTAGGAATTTTGTCCATTTGGCTGATTGGCTGTTGCCATTTGGTTTTTGCCTACTGCGTAGCAAATCATCACAACTTGTAAGGTTGGCGGTTAGGTATTGGTTCATATTGGTTGGTGGAGGGGTAAGTGCCTACCCCTCCAATGGTGGTGCGGAAAGCGAATTCCGTTAAAGGAATCCAGGGGCTTGCCATTCTTTACATCCTTGTCCCTGGCATCAGACTTGGGACGGGCAAGCCACCAGGAGCATGAGAGTGAGAGATGAGGGACTGATGCCCAGCTTCATTTCTCCCCAAAATTGTTTCCCTCACTGGCTTCCGCTGGAATCCAGAAGTCAGTTTTGACCCTGGGGCAAGGACAGATAGTTGTAACCAATGCCTAAGCAACCACTCACATGTGTGTATTTAAATAAAGTTGTGGCCAAAATCATGCCAAAACCTAAACAAAAATTGATGTGTTATGTGTGAATTATTGGGAGGTGGCTTGGGGACCTCGACACGCAATATTGTGCTAGATGGACCATTGGTGTGAGGAAGGGTAAGGCAGCTAGAAGCCTCTTGGGTTTGTTCTCCAGATGTTTCTCTCCTAGCTTGTTGTTCTCCTAGCTTCCTTGCTGGGAGAGGAGCAGCAATAAGGTAGAGGCATTGAATGCTCGGCACATATTCAAACCAGTTTCTTCTCTTGCTGCACTCCAAAAAGAAAAGAAAAGAAAAGAAATAGAAAAAGAAAAAAGAAAAAACAGGAAGGGGGACTTTGGGGTGTTATGTTTTCTGTGGTGCACTGATTTGCTGGTAAACCCACGTTTTGAAGTTATTATTCAAGATATTCCCATAATTTTACACAACAGGTCTTTCTGAAACACAGGCCCTTCTTATGCAATCAGATCACTAGGCATCTGATCTTCTCAACGGCTGAAAGAAGCACCATTGGGCATGGCGGCCACAGAATTTGGCCCATAATTAGGAACTGGATGTATTGGATATTTAATATCATTCTATTGGCCTTTTAGATGAAGAACATTACAAAATGGTGCATGCGTATTAATAGGCATGCATGTGGTTTGCATATCATGGGGTTGTATTGTGAAACAGGTAGCAGAAGGCAGGGAGAATCTTTATGTAAAGTTATTAGGCATGTACAGAAAATGCTTTTAAAACCTTGCTGTTGCTGCTGCTGCTGCTATTTTGCATCACAGCGATTTTTTTTGTAAACTGTTAAAAAGCTGCATGATGGATTTAAAAGATTGCAAAATTGAATGTTAATAGGGCCTTTCCTGATTTGATCATATTCGCGGTGATATGAAACATATTTTGCAATTGTTTTGTTGTTGGTTTTTTTAAAAAAACTTAACAGAAGAAAGAGAATGAGGGAAATCATTTTACACTGATTGGAAATATTACAGTTCGTAGCATGGCAATTTATTACTATGTAACGCTGTCCTAGAGTTTTGAATGTTCACTGGTTATTTTTGAGTGACACTTAGAACAGGGTCTCGCTGCTCAGGGATCTGTAACTCGGTATTTGTAGCACACGGAACATACGAAATCTGTTCAAGGGCTATCAACTGGCCTCAGGACCTTGCAAAAATGCATTCCTTTTTTTTTTTCTTACCACAAAATAAGGGTCACAACTCTGTTTCATAGAAAGTAAAACCTAACAAAGATTGAAGTATTCAGCAATAGATGGAAACACTTATTCAATAAGCTTTGAGTATATGGCTTGTGGGAGGCCACTCGCCACACAAGTTTAAAACCTTGCCCCTATTGAGATGTATCTCTTTTTACACACACGCCTAATTTAGATTACGAGCTAATGGCCTGTATCTTCTTATGGCAGTAAAAAAAGTAGAGGATGTGAGATCCTTAAGCTAGATTTCTAGCTGCTACTAGAGGCATATAAAATAGTGGCTTAAACTGATTTTTTAAAGCACATTTCCTCTTTTCTTTTTAAATACCCAAACAGTTAAAAAAAAAGAATTTTGTATTAATAAGAGGACCAAGATCAAGGAACAGTAATGTCAAAACTGGGTCCACTGTGAATTAAAGGCGATGAGTCATTAAACCTTTTTGTTGAGAAAGCGGGGTGGTCGGGAATGGTTGAGGGGTGGAGAGAGAATAAAGTCATACTGGAAATGCTGACACAGACCCCTGTGGGGAAAGTCGCAAGAGGAACAATGTTGCATGAGGAATTTTTTTATATATTTTAAAAAGAACACTTTATTTCCCATGTCAAGCAATACATTTAAATATCGATTATGCATATGACTTCCTGGAGATGTGCTACTCCAGAAAAAATAAGGTGGAGTTTGCCAGAGGCACTCTGGCATGCTTTTGCTGAAGGGGGGGGGCAACGCGGGACGAGATTGCTGGCTCCATTTAACCATTTCTTGCCCGCTGTTGTTAATGATGATAACATGACAAAAAATGGGGGGGGGGGGCTGTTAGTTCTGGAGAAGCAGCTACCAGCAAAAGAAATTGAATTCAGAGGGCAAAAAGGAATAAAGAGGCAGATAGAAATAGTGGAAGGATAATCTGGAGTAGGGAGAACATTTATTTAATCGGTGTTTTGTTTTTTTTAAGGCAAGCAATTAGAAAAGCAGATAAGTGAAAATACTTTGCCTGTTCTGTAATATTAACTGGGGTGGGTTATAATGAAATCATGCAAAGAAAGGGTGGCAATATCAGTGTGCATCTGGAAGCAGAAGCCACCATGTAATTCTAAGTTGATTCTTTCTTTTCTTTCTTTCTCTCTCTTTCTCTGTTTTTGTCTCTTCCATAATATATCAAAATCACTGAGACTGCCCTCCTGAAATCATTGCCCTTCCTTCCGAACAGACATGTATAGAATTGCACAGCAAAGAAAGAAACTGAAATTGTTTCATGCACCAAGTCCAAGTCAAGCACAGATGGATTCAAATTCAGAGAGATAATTTTTGGAACATGAACGCACTCACACACGGTGACCAGTCGTGCGAGGGTCAGAGACTAGTTCAGCTGCCTCACACCTGAGCCAGAGTTGCTTAAGTTAGGAGTCGCCAGACACTTCTACCAATTCCCACTTTTTCATGGAAAGCAGCACCTCTCTTCAAAGCCCCCAAGTGTGCTCATGGCATTCTGATCAATACGACAAAAACCCTTTCTTCAATAAACACCGGCTTATTATCAAGCGGAAAGCAGATATACCTGTGGATAGGGATAAAAGTGAAATGTTGACATTTCTGCCTTTTCGACAAAACTCACAGAGCTGCACCTACTGCATCTGAAACGCTGGTGTGGATTCTCTATCTATCTCTCTCTCTCTCCAACCCCCCCTCCCCTATCAGCCTAACCTTCTGTGTTGATACATGAATGCTGGTACCCACTTACAGGGATGCCAGATGATCAGTGCAGAATGAAGGTCCCAGGAGAAAAGATCACATGGTTTTCTCTGCCCTGTGACGTCACCAGCAGATGGCATGGGTACCAGCTCTGGCAGTTGGCATCAATGTCACTTTTTAGAGATCAATGAGATAGTGCAGATATACACAGATCTAGACTCCAGGAGACGATGCGACAGACAGATTGAAAAAGATTTGGAAGGCAAAAATGAAAACTGGCTATTGAAAGACTTTTTTTAAGGCCAAGGTAATGCAAATTCATTTATAATACCGATATAATATTTAACTGAGTGTGCATGCAAGTATGCGAAAGGGTACAGGTTACAAAGCGTTGCGTTTTATGAATGCTGTGCTTCCTTCTCCATCATCTGTTTCAGTGTTTCTTAAATGTTGTTGCATACTTTCACCGATTATGTAATACCGTAAGCGGGCTATGGACAATACTCAGAGAGTTACATCTTTTGATAAGGGGCTTAGTTTTGTTTTGTTTTGTTTTGTTTGGGTTTGTTGGTTTCTTTTAAAAAATGTGCATGTTTCAAAGTCCCTCACCTCCTTGTTTGCGAATTGGCATTTGCATATTTGTTGGCCAGTTTGAAAATCCTGATATATGCTGCTTGAAAAGTGAGTGCAGGGGCAGGAACAATACAAGGAGAAGCAAATTGTTTCTCTCTCAACACCCCCCCCCTTCCCCGCTTTTCATTCTGAATTCTGAACACACGTGCACAATTGCAGTCAGAATCCTCAGTCCATTCCTGTCAGATATTAGCTGGAGGGAAACGTCTGTTCCTTGAAGAACACAGATGCTGCAATAGAATGTGATGGGGTTTAGCTTCGCTTCTGGTTTTGTTTTGTTTTTTAATGGAAAAAAAACCAGTTAATTTTAAAATTGGGAAATTTTGTTTCAGATCCCCCCCCCCCGCCGCCTTCTATAGAATAAAAAGAAAGCGTGCAATTTATTGCCAAATGCCTTCTGCAAATGTTTGGTATTTACACTATCCTGCTTTATAGGAAAGAAATAATCCATGTATCACACATTTTCATACTGACCGTTAGAAAAAAGCCTCTCTTCGTATTAATTGAGTCACTGAATGATTCATTTGCCTTCTTTTCCATTTTAATTCTTTTCAATCAGTTCAGACTTGATTGTGATGATTTGTGGAAGAATGTGTGCAAACAAATTACAATTAAAAAGTTAAAGGCATTTTTACTATTACCGAACAGATTAATTTTATTTTTTAAGTCTGTTACCTTGCCTCATTTGAAACTCTAGAGTTCTTGGATAGTTGAAATGTATGCATTTTATAATTATTCTTTATGAATTCCACATTTTTAGATGTTCTGTAAATTTGAGTTTTTTATAAAAAATTAAAAGGGAAAAGAATTGATTTTATATTTAACTTTCCTTAATTGCCAATGTTTTTCTTCTGATAGTTATATTGAATTTTTGACGTAGACTTTTGGACCAATTCAATGCATAAATATAGCAAATGATAATTTTGAAGAATTGGCTGTATTTCTTCGATGTTTGTGGGTGTGTATGCACCTACCGAAATATGCACAAGTCATTATTCTCAGTACTGGTAATTATGTAAAAACTTAACTGAAAATATGTATAATAAATGTAACCTTCACAAATGGCTACACTTAAAACCTTGTGCTGGCATTCTTTCAGGTCCCATAAGATTATAACGCCATGTTAACGCTACCATTTGATGAGTCTGTTGTAATGCCAGAGTCCCAGATGTGCAGAAAGTTTTCCAGAGAAAGTGAGGACCCGAAGCAAATCAAGAAACCCGAAAGCTTTGCAAAGCAGATTGCGCACCAAGGGAAAAGCATCAAACGGTCGACAGCGGAAGATACAGAGAAAGAGGAGGTGGAAGATGACCGAGAGGAGGAAGACGAAAACGGTTTGCCCAGGAGGAGGGGCCTTCGGAAAAAAAAGACCACCAAGATGAGAATCGAGAGGGTCAAATTCAGGCGACAGGAAGCCAACGCCAGAGAAAGGAACAGGATGCACGGCCTCAACGATGCTCTGGACAGCTTAAGGAAAGTGGTCCCTTGTTACTCCAAGACGCAAAAACTGTCAAAAATAGAAACTTTGAGGCTGGCTAAAAATTACATCTGGGCTCTCTCCGAAATCTTACGGATTGGCAAGAGGCCTGACCTGCTGACGTTTGTCCAGAACTTGTGCAAAGGTCTCTCTCAGCCCACCACAAACTTGGTCGCAGGATGCCTACAACTCAACGCCAGAAGTTTCTTGATGGGTCAGAGCGGGGAGGTGGCCCACCACGGCCGATCTCCCTACTCCACTTTCTACCCCCCTACCACAGCCCAGAGCTGAGCACACCCCCAGGTCACGGGACCCTCGACAATTCCAAGACCATGAAACCCTACAATTATTGCAGTGCTTACGAGTCCTTCTACGAGAGCACTTCTCCCGAATGCTCCAGCCCCCAGTTCGAAGGTCCCTTAAGTCCTTCCCCAATTAACTATAATGGGATATTTTCCCTCAAGCAAGAAGCAGCTTTGGACTATGACAAAAACTACAATTACGGCATGCATTATTGTGCTGTGCCACCCAGGGGTCCCCTTGGGCAGAGTTCTGTGTTCAGGTTGCCTGCAGAGAGCCACTTCCCTTACGACCTACATCTGCGCAGCCAGTCTCTCACCATGCAAGACGAATTAAATGCAGTTTTTCATAATTAATGAGGGAAAAGTGGAAACAAATAAATAAATAAATAAGCGGTCATTTACCTCTCTTCTCTAATTATGATAAATCTGACGCTTTTGCCCCGTCTAATCGGTGCACCTCTACTTTAAAAGAAAAAGGGAAAGCGTGTTTGCTAAGTTCTAAAGTGTGTCAACTATTGTGGGGCATTAAAAAAAAATGATCTCTGTGTAAACAATAATAATTAAAATAATAATAGATAAATAAATGATTTTACTTATCAGTATTTAATTTATCAGTAAGCACTGTGAGATTCTGTTTTAGCTGGAATTCTTAAGGTTTAATTCCCCCCTTCCTATCCTGTTTGTTCCATTTTTGCTGAGCAGTGTGTCTAAATAAAATTGTGGAGCCAAGAAAACACACACTGTGTCTAAAAGTCTGCAACAGTGTTTTAATTGTACAGTAACTATACCAATGCATGCTACTCAGATCAGATGAGTTTAAAAAAACTGATGTATTTATAATAATTAGAAATGGTATATTATGTAACGGAGAAGAGGTGATTTTTTAAAAAACAAAACTCTCCTGGCTTTTTTGTTTAAGGAAAAACTGTCGCAGGCATCACGAGACATAGTGGAGATGGTGCAGCAATATTTTAAGCTATGCAACAAAAAAGAAAGTGCATCTAAATAAAAAACGAGTGGTAATCATTGATAATTATTCAGCTTAAAATTTGAAACATTTGCTGGCAGGGGCTACCTATTATTTTTGGAAGTTTTTGGTCACCGTTTTGCATCCATCATTTTACTATAAATCCCATATGGTATCTGCACTCCTTTTGTATTATTCTGCCTTCACATGTAAAGTTTGTTAGAATGTACAACTGTGTTTTTCATTACTTCTTTTAAATGCAATTAAAACATAAATGTTTTCAGTCATCACCATCAGCTATGATACAAAGTCAGCTATGTCATACTGATTCACTATGGTCATATCGATGGACTTTGGGTGCCTTGTTATTTTTGTGCAATGTTATTATGTTCATACTATTTAGGAAGTTTATGTGACACAGAGAGAAAAGTTTGATCTATTCAATTAAACATCCCAAGTGAGTGTGGTCAGGACTGGAACACTAAGGAGGTAAATATCGCTCCAAACAGCCCACAGAGAGAACGGTACTGACAAGGTGCCACAAAAATTGTGAGCTATAGGGCTATTGCAAACCCATCCATGCTGAGTTTGATAAATTGCTTACAAATATTTCAGTGCAGGATTGAGATTATATCTGATTAGTTTTTGGATTAACATATTTGATATTCTGGATCTATTCTCAGTAATAATTTTTAAGACTTGATTCAAGGAAATCTGAGAATGAAGCTGGGGAAGGGGGGAAACCCAGCAGTTACTACAAAATATCCCACGGAAGTTAAGCAAACATTCTGTCGCTTACTGATTTTTGCATCTAGTGTTCATAAAAAGCCGCAAGAGAAGAATGGGGGAAAATATTTTCCCTGATTACTGCAATTATTATTTATGATTTATACCCCACCCATCTGGCTGGGTTTCACAATAACTTTGTGACACTTTCAGCCTGGTCCCACCAAAAAAACCACAGATTTATCTAGACATTAGTCCTATGACTTCAGAAGAGTTTACTTTCATATATGTGTACTTAGGGCCACTGGCTTTATTTAGTGTTCCATCTCAAACATGCCAAATCTAAGGTATTAAGTAGCATTCCCAAAATCAGAAGCGAAGAGATCTAGGAAATTTTCTGGGTTTCTGTGCTTTGTTTCTATAGGGTCATCTATGGCTGGTTCTCCATTTGGGAGAATGGTTTTCAGTGAAATTGTGTAGGGATATCCTATATTTTATCTTAGCTTGCAGCCCACCAGCCAGATAGTCTAGGAGGAGCTCAATACATTTCTTTTTGCTTGGTGGGGGGGGGGACCTTTAAAAACCGGGTAGGGGAATTATCCAACACCTGGCAGGCCTCAATGTGGGGCTGGTATGCTGCAACTTGCTTGCGGCTCACAAGTAGTACAAGACGGAGTCTGTTTATTGTTCCCCCTTAAGCCCTTGATACTATTCTTGACTGAGCCACTCAGCTCAGCACATCTTTCAAGACTGGCTCAAACACATATATGCATCAATTGCTCTCCCCACGTGCCTCCTTAGCACTTCATAACTCCCAGTCCTGGGTCTGAGCCACTTCCGTTGGAGAAACATTGTGCTTTAGGTAACACGAAACTGTATTTCCACGATGTGGGATCTGAAGTGGCTCGGATTGCGTTGCAGTCAAGAAGGGATGAATATGCAGGTGTTAACAGGTCCTCTGTGTGAAGGGGGTGGTAGCTTAAAAACATTCCGTACTTCAGATGCATTAATAATATTTCATAGTAACACGACTGAGATCAGAGGGGGAAGCAGTTTGGTGATAGAGTTGCATGTGGCAGGTTCAATCCCTGGCTAATCTGGTGAAAAGGATATTAGGTTATGATTATGACCTGCTCTGCACTTATAAGGTTAGAAGAGTTTGGATTTGATATCCCACCTTTCACTCCCTTTAAGGAGTCTCAAAGCGGCAAACATTCTCCTTTCCCTTCCTCCCCCACAACAAACACTCTGTGAGGTGAGTGGGGCTGAGAGACTTCAGAGAAGTGTGACTGGCCCAAGGTCACCCAGCAGCTGTATGTGGAGGAGCGGGGAATCAAACCCGGTTCCCCAGATTAGGATACTACCGCTCTTAACCACTACACCACACTGGCACACTTAGCAGATCTGAGCTGCTGCCTCTAAAGTAGGTGATCTGTCTCCGTATAAGGCAGGTTCAGATGTTCTGCAGTTGAAAAGCTTGCTGGTTAAAATTTCAACAATCTGATGTAGCAGAGTAGCACAGTACCACAGTGTTGTTCTTGCTCTGCTGGGGGGGGGGCAGAGAGATTAAGAAAAGAGAGGAACCCCTGACTAACTTGTATTTATCCTGTATTTAAGTAAAGCAAACAAAAGTGAAGAATTCACTGGCCCCCCAGCCCAGAAAATTGCCATGAGTAATCTCTTCTGTGGTTGAGTAATTCTTACTCCTGGACAATCTAAAAGCAGATCTTGAATTCAGAATACAGTGGTACCTCGAGTTACAAACGCCTCAGGTTACAAACGCTTCAGGCTACAAACTCCACTAACCTGGAAGAGTTACCTTAAGTTGAGAACTTTGCCCCAGGATGAGAACGGAAATCGTGTGCCGGCGGCGCAGCAGCAGCAAGAGGCCCCATTAGCAAAAGCACAGCCTCTAGTTAAGAACAGTTTCAGGTTAAGAATGGACCTCCGGAATGAATTAAGTTCGTAACTAGAGGTACCACTGTATATATATGTGTGTGTGTGTGCGTGCGCGCGCGTGCGCACGCACGCCTCAGCTACTAGAAGGTTGGGGAACACAGGAACCTGCCTTAAACCAGGTCAGATTATTTGTCTGTCTAGCTCAATATTATTTATATAATTTGGAATCGGCCCTCCAGGCAGAGAGTCACACAATGTGCTACCATATCCTTTCTTCTGGAGATGTCAAGAGATTGAACATGAGATCTTCTGAATGCAAAGCTCTGTGTTCCTCCCCATATATCCCACAGACACTACAAAGTACAGACCATCTTAGAAACCCTCAAGATAAAATGGATGTTCCTCCTCTTCCCCACGGCAACTGACTTGGTGTTTGTAGCTTGCGCCGATACAGCCATGGGCATAAGTTTGCCTCATGCTCTCCCCTGAAGCCCATGTTCTGCTCAGAGTACCCACAGTTATGGAATCCAGGCAGAGAGGGGAGAGAAGAGAGTTGCCAACTTCGTTGGCTCCCGGTCTCAGTTCAAAGTACAGGTACCTTTAAAGCCCTACATGGCTTAGAACCCAAGAATCTGCTGGTGTGGCTTCTCCGATCTAGTCTGCCCTCTCATGATACTGCCATCACACAGTCTTCTCCAAATGCCCCCAATTTCTGAAGGATGGTAGGTGATGGCTGGTGAGAGGACCTTCAGACGGCAACACTTTTGGAATGCCCTGCCTTTTCCTGAAGGCTACTCTAATGATTTTCGATCATTATTTTATACTATTTTGGGTGAACCACATAGAGGTTTGGGGTTTTTTTTGTTTAATTAAGTGGTCTATACATTTTGATGGGACGTGGGTGGCGCTGTGGGTTAAACCACTGAGCCTAGGACTTGCCGATCAGAAGGTCAGCGGTTCGAATCCCCACGACGGGGTGAGCTCCCGTTGCTCTGCCCCAGCTCCTGCCAACCTAGCAGTACGAAAGCACAAAGTGCAAGTAGATAAATAGGTACCGCTCCGGCGGGAAGGGAAACGGCATTTCCGTGCTCTGCTCTGGTTCGCCAGAAGCGGCTTAGTCATGCTGGCCACATGACCTGGAAGCTGTACGCTGGCTCCCTTGGCCAATAAAGCGAGATGAGCGCCGCAACCCCAGAGTCAGCCACGACTGGACCTAATGGTCCCTTTAACCCTTTATACATTTTGATAAATTAAAAAAAAAAAAGTTTAAAATGTTACCAGTAGGCAAAAATGTATTTTTTTCCACCAGCTTTTGAACCTCCACAGCAGAGGCTCTGTGTTTTATTCCTCAGTGCTGAGTTTAGGCTGTTATGCTTTGCTGCTATTATTTCTCTGTATTCCCCCGACACACACACACATTAATGTAAGCCACCCTAAGGATATTACATTGTTGAACACACAGGATAAAATTATAGAAAGAGCAGGTGCTGGATGGGAATGTCTTGCAATGACCAGCGCAGGATGAACACATACACTTTTTGATGCAAAGAGATGTGTGCCTTTGCACAATTTGTCCCTAGGTCAAAGGGCTGGTGAAAGAAATAGGCTATGTGCTGCTGAAACAAGTGGTCTAAAAACTGCAATGTCTTCCAAGTGGAATCCTCATATTTACAGGCCCAGAGATTAGCTTCCTGAAAAAATAGCCATGAGTGAATGAGAGGGCTTCCCTCCTGTCTCCAGAACAAGGCACAAAAGTAGCTGTGCAGTCAGTGAACTAGGGGGACGAGGCTTGACCCCTAAATGTTCCTGACAAATTAGAGTATTGAAGTCTGGAGGCACTTTCCCCAAGCCCAGAAAACTTCTGCCCGGTTTAGGGAGGGAGGCACGATGCTCCAATGGGATCCACGGATGTGATGTCACAGCCTCATGCATGTGATGTCACCTCCCCCAGTTGCCCTTGCAAGCTGGCATGTCTGGCTCTGCTGGTTCCCCTACAAAAAATTCCACTACACACCACTGGCCAATGCTCTGGAAGACTTGCCCTTCCTGTTATGTGGCTTATGTATGATGATCCATGCAGGCAAAATATACCATACTTTTCTGTGTATAACACGCCCCCGTGTATAAGGCACCCCCTATTTCAGGGGACTCAAAAATCAGAAAATGGGGGGAAATTGCTAAGAGTTATTGAGCTTTTAGGAGGTTGGATCACAGAAGCAAAAATCCTCTGCCCGCTCACCAACAGCAGCCACCAATCACCTGGCCATTTGCCGCAGCATCAGCCAATCAGCAACAGGAACCAGTCCCATGTCCCCACTCTGCACTATCCATGTATAAGACAAAGCCCAATTTTTGAGAAGATTTGATCTGAGAAAAACATCATTTATACATGGAAAAGTACAGTAACTTCAATATATACTGAAAGGGCTATGTCTGGCTTATCCTTCTCTTCCCTCCTTTAAGAATAAAATGCAATGAACCTTAGAATGCAGCCTCATTATCTAGTTCTATTTTGCACAGGTTATACAAATTCTAGGTGGAAATTACTGTTTAAAAAATGATGTGCAATATAAAAAAGATACAGTATCTATAATCTAATCAAAATCCCAAAGAGTTCAGACGTTATCTGTAGTGCATCAC